TCGACCTGTTCTATCTTTCGTGGGGAAACCTGTCCCTCAAAGGTTGAAGGTTCTTCACTGGATAGAAGGGTATCAGGATCCCATCCGTGACTATATCTAAGCAACGTTAAAAGCCACAACAGAATACAACTGAGTGCAAACCTTCCTTCAGAGGGAATATATACTCCCCCTATCCCGTGTATATATGTATATATATGAAATAGTGATCTACTTGCATTGAGGTGAAACAGTGTTCAGCCCAGCTGCACCACCCCATCCACAATGGAGAGGTATATATTCCTAAGCCAAAAAGCACTTGAAGGTAGCAGGAAATACTCTCAAGCTCTATCTGCCACCGCCAGCCGGATGCTTCATACCCCTGGCTCGTGTTTTCCCCCGAAGAGAAGCTGACTCCACGCTTTAACAATAGACAACATCCAGCATGCACAACAGCATGGCGCTCGCTGCTGTTGTAAACTTCCCTGTCTCTCTACTCAGTGTCTCACATGTGAGCACTCGTCGTTGTCCCTATGTGCACCCAAACGAGGAGTAAAAAGAACTATGGAGTAAGCCACCATGCAAAATGATGAAGCAAAAGGCGGGAGCTTCCTCTGGAAAGCCTTGTTCCTCTACGCTGAAGCAAACCTCAACAACGGGAGGTGACGGCTAGAGAAACTCAATTTTTGAACATCAAGTTCACATGCATTCCTTTTGGAACAGTCCAAAAACAATGAGTGAGTTCTATACAGTACATCATTCTACCAACTGTTGATGAAGAACATCCTACACCAGCTGGCATAGTTCTGAAGAGATCCAAGTCACCAGTTTATGGATATGAGGTGCTCCAAACAAACACGAGCCAAATGAAGCTTGAATGGGGCTATCCAAAGTCCTATTCAGCTATTTTGAAGCACGGCAATGCCTCGACAACAAGGTTTGTTGAACCCACGGCCATGTCCCAAAGATCAACCACATACTGCAGGCCCGCAAATTTCTCTTACACCTGGAAAGAGACCCACATGGAACCTGAGAAATGGACCAAACAGGAAGACTTTCTCTAACTCAGGCACCACCTTGCGGTGCTCTCTCGGAACCAGGGTCCCACTCACTCGACCTGCGACTCGGCCTCGCCCAGCGTCCCCTGCGCATCGATGATCGGCGAGGCCCGCACCAGGCCGTCGTGCGGCGCCGTCCAGGTCCACGTGGGGCCGCGCGAGAGCTTCGTAGGAGGCAATGCACTGGTGGAGCCGTCGCGAATGGGATTGCCTTGGGCATGGGTGAGGAAAACCTGACTGGGAGCCCGGGGTGTTTCATGGAGATCCCTAAACCTCCCTACCTCCAAGATCTCCAAGGGGCTATTTGAATCTATTTGATATGCCTGAAGGGGGCTCTGGTATCGGATGTTCCAATACATGCAGAATTCTTTTGGAGATCAAGTAGGGAGAGTGTTTTCTTCTTTGCACATTGCACTGTTCTTTGAGTGGGGGGGTTTACAAGTGTTGAGAATTCCTGCAGGAAAGCACACGGACAAATCAGTCTCCATCTTAGGTGATGATTTCACCCTAACCTAGCCAAGTGGCCGTTCTTGCCAATCCTCAGTCGCAAGAGCCGTCAAAACGTGGGTGGCTTATCAGCTGAGACAAAGCACTGAGACAAAGCTGGGCACATGACATAGCACCATCAATAGCAACGTCTCGTGGGGATGGCTCATGATGAGTCATGACCGGCTTCAGTCAGCTTATGGCTTATTGGGATGCACTTCATCCTTCAACCAAGTGATGCTCCAATAAACATCATCGGAGTTGAACAGGGCGCATGACTTGACCCACAAAGAACAACGTCGATCCTCAACATCGACCCCAAAGTGAATAAGGCGACCCACAGGCCTTGTCTCATAACCCCAAACATCCAATGTTGCCCGCCCCCTCACTAGGCTGCTAGGTCCTAGGACTGGGACTCACAAAGCATCCACGTCGACGGGGTGGTCGCTTCACTTGGTTGACCTGTCATCGACAGCCAGGGTCGCTCCCCTTGCGTCACCCAGCCGAGTGAGCCATGTGCAACCCACCTGCTTTGGCTGAACTCATGCTTTCAAACACGCATCAGAACTCTTTTTGTTTTCAAAAACTGAATTGAGACTGAGACCCACAAAACCCTTTGGCCTCTTCACAAAACCCTTTGGCCTCTTCGATGCTGTTGGCACATGTTTGGCACCAGTGCTTCGTGTGTCGATGGGTGTTGCTTGGGACCCGGGTCGACGTCCAAGAGGACGACGGGCTCGTTGGCGATTCTGGACGATTTGGGGGCCAGAAGAGGATTGCAGGGTCAACTCGGCCTTGGTAGAAAAAGACATATTGTGTAGATGGTTGATTAAGTTAAACTATAGTAACACTTACCCAATTGAATCCATTTGGATTGTAAATTCCCATATGGAGGGTTTGTTGATCAACGGTCTACGCTCTACTCCGAACGCATCACATGGACGTGGTGGAGCTTGCAGTAATTCGTCTTCCAAGGGCCCATCTGTCACTGAAAAGGGACCATCTGTGACTCAGAGTGTGTCTGTTTGTGGGCTCATTTTGCAGGGGTGCTGTTGGAATCAAGCAGAACGCACAGTGCAAATTGCACACCAGCCGAATCGACGAGATACCAGATTCTACAGGCCTCCAAAAAGGAAACACTACCAGAGATCCTATATTGTAGTGCTACCATCATGCAAATAGATTCTTGTACCTTGAGACATCTTGAGACCATTATTTGCTTGTCAAACCCACGCAGTTTCACCAGCAATCTTTATAAGAAGTCACCAGCCGTAAGCATTCCCCCGTCTTCGCTGCGCCAAGCATCCAAGGTGAAACCCTCCTGGACCGCTCCAAGCTCCGCTGGATCAGGGAGAAGGCACCCGACACTTCGGCCAGTGGCGTGCAGTGGTTCCAATGGCAGTCCTGTTTCACTGGGCGCCCCCTCCACACAACTCCCTTGCACAACCGGCACAGGTTATTTTTTCTGGACTCGTTTATCTGCAATGGTGATGTATTTTGATCAATGAGTGGGTTGCACTTGTGAGAAACACACAAGTTTGCGGACTAAGGTGATTTCTTGCAAAAACCACCATGGACCGCCAAGACTGCTTTATAAAGGACATTGACTTCGAAGGGGACTAGTGTGTTGGCGTGATTTCGATCGCGCCGACAAATCAAGGGATGGCACTGGCAAGAATCAGATGGATTGACTGGCATGGATCATGGATCCCAAAAAACAAAAGAGGTTGAACAGCCCTATGTACCACTACAGGATCATATAAGGTTTCTCAACCTCTGGACAGTTTGGATTCAGGTGTCTGACAAAGCCATCTTTCAGGCTCCTGGGACGCTGCAAAAAAAATGGAAACACCTTTCAAATGATTAGGACGACCCTCATCAAATCTTCTCAAACAGTTAAAAATCCACCCCAGGCTCCAAGGACACGCCCACACAAAGCTCTTCACACGAGTCAAGTGGAACCGGATCTCCTCTGACAGCGACACCTCATGAGCGACTGCCAGTACCGCGCTCCAAGTGAAGATCAGCCCTCGGTGTCAAGATCCGCACAAAAGTGGCCAGGTGTGGGACTCGTGCTGATCTGCATCGGCCAAGAGTGGAAATGGAAGGTCCCAACTGAGTGATGTAAAGAGTGATGAAGCTGAGCTTGGAGGTCTGCAGGCTGAGCTTGGAGAGTCTTTTGTAGGAGAGTTGGAGGTCTTGGAGGTCTGCAGTTGTGCAGCTTGGAGGTCCTTTGGAGTTTGTTGTTCCTGCATGGGAGAACATACCCGAACACAACACATCTAGCCAGAGCAGCCTTCACGGCGGAATCCTGCGTTTTACGTTGTGGTGTCATTATTTATAGAAACACATGTAATGATGGATCACCTCAAGAAAGTACCCCTTGATATGTCTGTCTACTGACCTCTATATATGATTTGATGTCAGCGGTGATTGGACCGGAGACTGATTGGGAGACGTGTTAGATGATTCAAAGTTCATGAAACCCTTAAACCCTTCACCACCTCAAGTCTGGTTTCAGGGTTTGACTCTTTGACATTATCTATCTGGCCTTACTACTAGGAGCAAGGAAAATACTAGGGTCTCCTGGCCTTACTACTCGGAGCGATCGGACGCTACTAGTCAAATCCAGTTCACCAAGAAACCGATCCTGGAGCTTCCTAGAGCCGATGAACCGCTTCACCGGCCTCGTTGCACGGTTCAGTGGTCTCCCCCCCTGCGTTCCCCAGAAAACACGGTGGCCCTTCTCCTTCGTTCTCCCGAGGATCTGAGAGATTCCATGGCTGACACCAAGGGTTCGGTGACTTTTGCTATTGAGCCCGAGCAAATCGCATGACGACACAAACAGAGTGACATGGAGTCGAAGTGAACACTCCCTTGCGGTGGAGAACACCAACACATCTCCACCCATGGCAAATGAAACATCACAAGCCCCAAAACAAACCTACTGTAATTAGTAATATCACATGAATGCACATGGCAATGAGAAATTCAAATGATCCTATGCCTGAAGAGCTATCCTGTCTCAATAAGAGTATCTATATTGTACATATTATAGGTATACCGAATACATCCGAATACCGAGTATCGTGTGAGTCATCCATTTGACCATTCTTTCAATGTCTACTCCAAAAATAATGATGACTTCCAGATTCCAGTCAGTACAGCTTTCGGGACCCCGGCAGATTGCCCGGCAGACCAGGGTCACTCAAAATGGTGATACACAAAGTGATACCCTGCAAACCAACATGGAAGATGGAAAGGGACTGTTGCAACCCTTGCATTTCGCCCCCCCCTCCACCAAAAACACAAGTCCAAGAGACAAAGAAACAACACACAAACAATCACAAACACCCTGCATCAAGTTGTTCTTTTCTCCCGGCGGGTTCATTGGATGGTCGGAGCACGTCTCCCTCCATTTCCCTCGTTTGGGGTGAATTCCTCGTTCTCCACCACCGTCCCGCTCCAGGTGTCCCGAGCCACGTAGGATCCTGGACCGGGTTTCACTGCGTGGTGAACGTCCAGGCCTTTGAGATGAAGATGGATGGACCATGGCTAGTAGGTTGGAGCCCATCGCCATTAGGATGGAGCACACGATGTGTGTATATAGTTGAATGAGACACCCTGGCCCAATAGACTGGTCTATTCTCCTTCTTCCAGGGGGTCGGAACGCCTGGGGGTCTTCTCCCTATTTAAATACACACCCATGTGGTGGCTCCGGAGATGCTGGTTTTTCTGGCTCCTACACTCTTGGACCGTGGACCATGGATTTTTCCATGGTTCACAGGTTCGTTGAAGAAATGGCATGCAAAGGGTCCCTGCCTAAATGGCATCACACGGGCTCTGGACTGGGAACATCAACCGGATCTGAATTGACTAGGACTGCTATTTCTATCCAACATCTCATGGGCCTTGAACATGCTTTGAGGCTTTGAGAGGGAACACCATGGCCAGGAGTGTTTTTGGACATATGGGACTCGTGTTGCCACTTGTGGACCTGTGGATGTCTAGATCTCAATGGAATTGTCTTATACTGTGTTGATGATCAAGTAGTAAGTAGCAAAAATCCTAGTCTTGACATGAAAAACAACGAGTGTTCTCACCTTCATCCACCAAAGAACATCCTCAAACTTTCCCGATCCAATGCAATGCCCTCATGAAGCACCCACGCTGCCGGAGCGTGGATGTGTCTTCCGCTCGAATCCCAATGTGAGTGACAGACCACATCTCCAATTACAGGGACCTCTTGAGGATGGTGGAGAGGTCCGCCCCCGGTCCTCTTTCCATTCACCAACCAAGCGGAGGGCCGACCCTTGAACCCATAGATGTTGTCCGATCTTCTGGCCTAACTCTCTGAGACATAATCTGTGATTCGCGGAAAAGGCTGTAGCTGAGGAAGCCCTCAAACAACTGGTTGAAATGTCAGTCTGTTGGTAAGGAGTTGCGACTCTATCAACCATGGGCTATTTTGCAAAAGTGAGTCCAATTTCATATCGCTACTAGTAACAAGTGCATCGCTACTAGTAACAAGTGCATTACTACTAGTAGCAAGAAGCTACTATGAATGATACGCATAATGGAGAATTGTCTCGTAGTAGTACTTCCAACCGGGCTGGAAGCGCTCTCCATCATCCAGAACCAAGTTGGGGATCGGGGCGGGATGTTCACCCACGAAACACGCTTATATACATCATTATACATCCAAGAAGCAGCAAAGTGCTTGACTTGGATTGGATGGTTGAAGCAATCCTTGCTAGGAAGATCGATATCTTTAGATACATCATGATACATTCCAAGTTCCCAAGTGCTCGGATAACACGAGCGCCCCCCAAAAAAATTGGTGCCCTTCCTCATAGAACGGTGAAGGTGAGCGGAGTCATCGAATGTTCCATCGAATGTTCCTCCACCTCTTTTCAAGCACGTTTTAGTGTCACAAAAGCCCTGCATTGTCAATCATGGTCGATGACGGACAGGTGCTCAGTAGGTGCCAGTGGGATCCCACTGGCGAGTCAGGTGTTAGGCCTTTTCGGCATTTCGTCGCCGGAGCGAGTCTTTCCAGTCCTGTCTTCGGCTCACCTCGCAACTCCAGCCTCGGTCGTTGGATGAAGAGAGAATCCAAAGACTTTGATGGTTTCCAGACACGACCCATGGGACTGCCATAGGACTGCAGATCAGGGAAGGGGTGGTTTTGGGGGTCAATGTAGGCATATATGGCAGTCCCATGGAGTGTCTGGGGTTAAGGTTGGATGCCACCTCCATGGTAGAGACCAGATGGTCTCCCAAGTGCGAACGCAATCATCAAACGCTTTTAGACCTCCAAGGTCGAGTATGGTCGAGTGGTCGTCTCATTCCAAGGTCGAACACAGAAGAACCACGAACAGGCCGGAAAACATCAGACTCAGGATCAAAAAAAACAACAATGGGTCGGAGTGCTGATGCCCTACTCAGGATTGGGGCCACTATCCACTGAAAAAGACCCTTGGAAGTGCCGGTGACACGTGTTCTGGGACCCTGCCAGCTCTGACAACCCTCCTCTGGGCTATTTTGACCTGGAAGACCTGTAGAGGTCTCTGCTGGTTCAGATTCAATGGTTTCTCTTAGATCATAGTACGACATTTGATAGACTCTATGGAAAATGACCTACCCTGAAACATCCTGAAACCACGCCCAAAGATTTCCCAAAAGTGAGGTATTTAAATGTTATGTCTGGGAATCAGGAGTTGGGCACACCAGCCTCAGCCCTGCGGCTCCACTTCTCAATGAACATCTCTGAGGCATCTACACCATGGGGCTGTCAGCTAAAATGCCTGGCATTCATCGCGGAAGACTAGTGTGAAGCGGAGATGTGCTGAACCCCGACGGTGAAGCATTTGCCCTGGAATCAGAATCATGAAGATTACTTTCTAAGGATGGGAGTCAGGTCTTCCATTCTTTTGGTTGACCGAGAAATTTGCTGGTTCTTGCATCATCTCAACTCCATGCCTATGATCTGAACGAATCCCACTTTCTAGAATCAATACCAAAGAAAGGGGAATTTGATTAGGTTTACCAGTTCTTTGACCCAAGCAAACCTCCCAAGACTTGCGGCATGTCTTGGGAACTCGATGGAAATCGTGAAATCACGCGTCTCAGGTCTTGTAGTAGTCTGTGCACCTGGATCCTCCCAGAAAACAATCAAAAGGTGCTTGTAGGACCGTACCGGTCAATATCTTCTCGCGGTGTCATTGGGTCATGGTTCATTTTCTGTCCAGAGTCCAGGTATAGTGGAATTGGATGATCTAGAAACCCGATTTCATTGGCCACTTCCTTCTTGACCTGCTCCAAGGGCCATTTTCAATACGAAAGGGTAGACTGATGTAAACTGTATATTATTATGGAGAACAATTTAATAGCAAAACACGCGAGTTGCAAGTTCCCAGTTTCTTTCCATAAGGGCGGGTTTCGGGCGGGGATCCACAATTGGGATGCACCATGCCACCCAACGTCTGGTCACGTCTGGTCGTTATTTCTCGTGTACTCTCTCGGTTTGGGGCATTCAACCCCTAGGGCTCCAACTACCTCCCTTTCGAAGGTGGTTGGAAGGTGTCAGGGGGGTCTAACCACCTTCTGAGGATATTGTTGGAGGTTTAGGGAACACTCGAACATGCTCGTACAAACCCGCCAGGACCCCGCCTCGGGGCATCATGTCATGGGTACTGTGCCTCAGCCGTCGCACTGGATGCGAGCGCGCACCCTACTCATTTTGCTGGAGTTGGTCATACAAAAACACTACTCAAGGAGGTCAGTGACTGACCAGGTTTTACTGGGTCAGACTGGACGTACGTAGGGCCACGAGGATCGAGGGAGAGCCGGGTGGATCGAGCTGTTTTCGAAGCACCGAGATTTCAAAGGTTTCACTGAACCCGGTGATCTTCACTTCTAGAAGCAGTACGTGCTGTCAGTAAACACGACCCTGAACTGAACTCGTGATTCCACCGTCCGGGCGCGCGCCGTTGTTTGCGCGCATCTACGCGCCGAATCCGCGCGCCGAATCTGCGCGTCATTGAGAGGGCTGGCATCTGGATCTTGAATGGTGTGAAATGGATTCGATGATAATTTAGACCCGACAACTTCGACCAAACAATGACAACTTAGACCTGACGTGGAGCCTTGGTTGCGGTCCGACCTCCGCCTCGGTGCGGCCCGGCTTGGCACACATGCCGAGCCGGTGCCACGGTGCCTGAGCCTCCAACTCACTCTGGGATTGCTGGGCTTCTTGCACTACCTGGTCAAAGACAAAGAGCCGAGGAGGCTGGAGGCAGTGCACGGAGCACTGTACAGTATACAACCCCGCAAAAGGTCCAAGGTCTTGAGAACTGGCACTAGTTGTGCAATGTTGTACAAACGACCGCCATTATCCTCAATGTGTCCAAGGCATTCCAAGGCCAAGTTTCAGTGGACCTTCAGCATCTCTCTGATTAGTACGTGCGACGATGGCAATGATTGTAAGTACATCTGGGGGCCAGCCATATAATTTGGAAGGTCCAATAGATGACACAGCCCTACCTTGAGCAAAATCGTCTATATAATATATAGACCCCAAAAGATAGAACATTAAAAGTATAGATCCCCACCAAAAATGTCTTTCAACCTGTTTCTATCTATTTGGCAATTTGGGGATCACTATTAAAACGGTTGGATTCTGGTGGATGGCAGCCGAACAGTTCACGTTGCTCCAGCAAAGGTCCCTCCATCTCTGCTCGCGCCTGGGTTTCTCTTCGCACATGAGCGATCTTTCGACGATCCTCAGGCTTTCGCGGTCCGTCTCTCCATCCACGGGTGAGCTGACCCGGAGCCGCCAGCGGACATGTGGTTCCAGCGGACCGCAAAAGTCTTAAGGTGGAACCAACGACCTCAGAAAGAAGTGGAGGCTCCAACCTCCAACTTCACTCTACCACCCCTCAAAAAACCATCAGTATGAGGAGCATCTGTCTGGGATCGAAAGGATGACTTCCAGAAACCAGTCATGGTTGACCAGCATTACCAAGATTCAGTGCTCACCACCAACCTCGGATGTTCTCCTCAACCAGCCACCAGGCTTCCTCAAACCATCAATATAACCCGGAGCCCGGGTGGACGGTATGGCTGCACCTCCTCAGTTCTCAAGCCTTAGTACCAGGCTTCTTGGAGTCCCGTGCACCTTTGGAGTCCAAGTGACCGAACTTCAGGGCCTTTTCGTGACCCAACCAGGGGATAGTAGGTCAGTCTTGGGAGGATTCCAGAAGCTCACCCTTCTCAGAGGCGGAATCATTCACCCGAGCCGCGAGGTGGGCCTCGGCGCCTCATCCGTCATGGCGTGTCTTTGTTTGGCGTCTCAAAACGCGAAAACAGTTCGGAAAACATATAATATCTGCCTATTAGCTCAGATAAGTTCAGACCAAAGTTCGAAAAGTGTTAGAGATATTCAGAATGTGCTTTTTTGTTTTCAGGCGAAAAAGTGACGGACGCGGAGGTCCCATCCTGCGGACTCGCAAAGCGCTCTCCGGGTCCCCCGGACCAGCTCGAGGAGGCTGGCGGAAGCCACAGCCTGTGGTTCCTGAGATCGTCTCCAAGCTGAAACCCAGATTGAGTAGCATAGGAAGATGAACATTGTAAGGGTCATGAGCAAATTGGAGTGTCGCCTGCAGGTTTGTGAAGCTATTCAAAATTCCATACTCCAAGAATGAATACATTCTTTTCGTATCAGTGTGGGCTGCTTGCTTCAGTCTTGAAGATGGCAGGCTGCAAGTATATAGATGTTTTATCTTGCAGCCGTGAGCAAGACGTCAACGACGGAAAACGACAGTCTGTCAAACACATCGTAGGGAAGTGGAATATGAAAAGCTCTTTGTAGAGGCACGTGCAGCAAAAGCACTCTTGCCGGGAGTCATGTTCCACTTTCATGTTTGGCCACTCAGCGTGGCCAAAATTAGGTCCGTTCCAGCCACCCTGAGACTCTGACTGCAATTTCAGCCACAGATCGTGGCAGCAGTAGTAGTAAAGCCTCAGCAGCGCAAGTGGCGGTTGGAGGCTTTCATGAAGAAAAGCAACATGTCAAATTTGGATTCACTCCGTCACTCCCAGTGGTTTCAGATTGTTAATGCAATGGTGCCATGCTGCAACCCCTCTCATTCTGTTCAGATCCAAACAACTTCCACTCTCTTGAGGCCTTGCGTCAGCTACTCTGAAAGAGCAACCGTTCCAATTGAGAGTGGACTGCGAAATATAAAGCAAAATGAGGCAGCTGGGCGGGTTCCATTACATGCATACATAAGGTATTTCGACCGAGCCTAATTTCATGATTGAACTTCTTTCCTGCATATTTAGGGTCCACAACCATTCGTGCTCCACTTCGCACGACTTCTTTCGGTTACTCTACAGGAGCTGGCCACTAAAACAATCTCACGTGCTGCCGCCTCCTAGATATAAAAGTGAGTCACAATCAGAAAGGAAGAAACCCAGTTCGAAGCCCAGTCACGGCTAGGGGCATCCTTTAAAAACACCGGCGCAACAGCAGCCAAACTCACCCCAAACAAACACACGCTAGCGCACACTGGTCGTCCAACACTCCGAGCTCTCGGGCGAACGTGGGGAATGTCACCATGCCAACGACACCTTAAAGATGAAGGGAACCGACAGTCGCCGACAGCTGCCGACAGACCTATACATATATCAGCTCTGACACAAGTTCGTCGTTCTGTGAGGAACAGCGAGGACCATCAGGGTATGCACTACGGTCACTACGGTGGTGGTACCACGCAAACGTTTGAACTTAGGATTTGAGTTGCCTTTTTGCAGCCTAATTCCAATGTTGTCAACAGGAACTTTGTCAGTATTGATATCTAGTTAACTATGCGCATAATAAGTACCGTTATCATCCTCTATCACAGTCACATGTTATCTATGTTGGGATCATATATGACAAAGATCACCATCAGCTGAACCTCTTCCAAGATCACTACCTGAACATGCTCCCCGGTTCTTCGGTTGTTGTGTCTTGATATGGCGTGGTGTCTCTCAAGCCTTAGCGAGGAAACTGTAAATCACTTTCTTTTAATTAGCCCAGCAGGGTAGGAAAAAGAAAAGGTAAAGCTAATTTGTAGCTATTCGGTGCTGAAGGCTAACACCTAGGATGCAGGATAGCTCACGCTTCGAGGAAGCTTCCCCTGCCTGAGGGCGAGCAAAGAGCTTGAAGAAGCGCTCGCACTATTCATTTGTTTCCAAGATTCTTAGGGAAACATACGGAAACTTAACATGATGAAACTCTCGGTGATCTCGATGGATTTGACCGCAAAACTCTAGCAGTGACGACTCATGCATCATTGAATTGAATCATAACACCGTCTTTGGGTGGATCTCTGAAACTATCCAACCCCCAGCAACCCAAGCTGCCTTAGGACTGCACAATGTTTGAGACGTTGCTTTCAGATTCGGAGGATGCGGGTTTGCGTGGGAGCAGCTGACTCTCGGAAGCTGTTCAAGGAGGGAATGACTGGATTTCAGATTCCGCCTTCGGAAGGTTCCACTTCTCACTTCTGAGGAGCAGTCTGACCTAGTAACAAGTGCCTCGCTAGTAGTAACAAGTGCCTTGCTAGTAGTAACAAAGAAGCTATTAGAATTAAAATAATAGCTTCTTGTTACTACCAGTAAGGCACTTGTTACTACTAGCGAGGCACTTGTAATTACTAGCAAAGGAATCTACTATGTCCTTTGTAGTTAGTTTCCCTAAGAAGTCGATTCTCCCATGGACAACCCATGGAAACACCGCTCACATCGATATTCATCGTCCAATGCTCAGGTTTACCTGAGATTGTCCTGCCAGCTCCACTCGACCATTTCCGCCCAAATAATTCGCCACGCCAGGTCCCGCGCCACAAAAGGGGTACGTTGGGGACCGAGTTCGGCATGGGTCAACATGCTGTTCGGGCCAGAGCGGCAATCCACGGTGGAGAAGGGCATGAGACGATGGGTACATGACATGACAAACTCATCCCAAACACTCCATGTATGGCATATTTATACATTGACCCCTAAAACCACCCCAATGTAGGTATATAAATATGCCATACATACATGGAGTGTTTGGGCATTATATGAGTATGCATCAAAATGGGAGAGACCTCCCAGGCAACGACCCCCTGCAAGAAAGGAAATAGACCAGTGTGGACCAGTCTACCCATTGGGCCAGGGGTCTCCCAATCCAAACACACACCCATACTAGTTCCACCGCGCTAAACTAGAAAAAGGACAACATATGGACAACATGTTCACTTGCCTAGTGACCTGGTGAACGTTTCTCGAAGCACCGAGATTCACTTGATCGGGGATGGTTGCTACATGCTGCTACTATATGTATTGACCACGGACGGAGTGACTTGGGCAGTTTCTCAAACTGGCAAGGTCCTCTTACGTCAACAGGGCGATCTGAAGGCTTGAAACATGTAGCTTCTTGCTCCTAGTAGCGATGCCAGGAGCTGCTAGTAGCTTATTGTTTCTAGTAGCGATGCCCTTTGTTACTACAGTAATTAGTAATTAGTATAGCGATGCCAGGAGCTAAGCTTCGTTTCTTTCAAGCTTTCTTTTGGGGTAAAGCTCAAATGTTCTTCTGCCAATGCTTTTTGAACTGGTCCGTTCAAATCTGCAGCGTCTGGCGAAACCATGCAGCGAGTATAGCGGCAAAGCGGTTCAACAGAAAAGTCACAAAACATTAAGTTATTAATCTTCTGTTTCATCCACCTTTTCAACAGATGCATGGCTTAGGCTATTAATCTCCTGTTTCATCCACCTTTTCACCAAATGCATGGCTAGACCAAACAGCTGCCTGAAGCGCAACAAAAACGACTGCTTCATCCTTTGTTTGTCTGAAGGGTCACCGAGATCATTTGTGCACCTTGCCTTTCTGCGTGATGGGTTTCCACCCCCCCAAACCAGGTGCACTGCCGGGTGTGTGAGGTCGCCACTCTTTTCACCAAAGCCGGGGGCTGGTCAAAGCACATCAAAAGTGAAGATGTCCTTCATCAAACAACTCCATAGAGTTCCTGGCGCACGATGCAGAGAGCAGCACGGCATCGAGGTGCAAAAATCGAAGATACGGAGATGGGATCCGCTTCCGTCTTAAGACTACGCGAGGAGATTGCACGCTTCCGCTTGGTTTTCGGCTTGGCTACGCTTGTGAAAACCTGTCATTGGAGAGAGCCTGTTTTCAAAATGCAACAATTGTGCGGTAAAACAAGTCAACTTAGTAGTCAGTCCCAAAAGTCAAAGTCAAAAAAACTCAAATCAACAGTTTCAGAAAGTCAAAACAATAATCAATTGGCACAGATCTGATTGTTTTATCTTGCGTTTGTTTTCTAAAGTTGACTCGTGTTGATTTGTGTGACATTTTTTTGAGTTTTAGCTGACGTTCCTTTTTTGTTCGTGTTGTTTTGAATTTGGACTTTTTGACTTATATTAATATATGTTTGATTTGTTGAGTTGTTTTATAATTTTGATGCTTGTTTTACTGTACTTTGTTCAAATTTGTTTTCCTTTATCTGACTTGATTTTGACTTTTTTGAGTTGTGATCTATGATTGACTTTTGTCGACGTGTGCTTGATTTGTTTTTCCATTTGACTTCTTTTTGACTTTGACTATTCCATTTTGTTTGACATGTTTTCGACTTTTTCAAATCACGGATACTGGCCTTACCATATGAAATATTTGTATAAAGCTAAATTTTGTCATCAACCTGCCAAACATATTGTATATATTATACAATATTGTAATATACATTCCTAATAGCTCATGAATCAATGTGAAACGTCAAAAAATTGCACTCTTTTCCTAGGCATTCAGCCACCGTGACACTCACAATGTTCAAGCACGTCACCGAGATCAAACTGAACACTTCTGGTGTTTCATCATTCTGGAGTTCTGCACAATCATAGGATGTGTTGCAGTGGATGCACTATAGATTATCTCTTTGAGGTAATGTTGGCGTTTTGGCATCAAGTCATACCCTACAAAGTCTCCAAAAGCGCATCAAAGAAGCAGCCTCAACATCCACGTGTCGACGAGGATAGACTCAAATCCATCCACAAAATCTTCAGAGTAACAACCCAGCAAAAACACTTTGGCAAGGAAGCAACTCAGTCAAGACCACCGAAAGTGCTGTCTTCCAAAACTAAGCACCACCAGCTTGCCACTACATGAGGAAAACAACACCACCAACGAGGATCTTCGTCACCGGCTCGGGCTCCTGGTCGACATTTCCTCTCATTTCAGTTTGACACCTCAAAGCCCAAAACCAAGCATTTAACTATAAAGGTTCTTCCAATATGGCTTGCTTGAGATCCGATCCTTTACAGCAAGAGGCTGGTGACTGGGGACAAACAACACCGACTTCTCTTTGATGTCTGCTTCTCTTTGGTTTCCTCATTTTCGCCACTACTCTCCCAAACCCCAAAACCCTGGGACTCCGCCACCGACGACCGACGATGCCGTCGCCGGGACAGTGCGCCTTGCGACGGCGGTTGCACTTGGCGACCTCGGTCGCGCTGATCGATCCGAAGCACGCGGGTGGCGCAGAACACCGGTGGCCAAATCGAGAGGAAGAGAGGTTTGGTCTCTGGGGATGCTTTGTTTCAGTTTGGCGTGTTTTCTTTAAAAGACATATAGTATATATAAATAGTATGTATAATATAAATACTAGTCATGAGGGTGGGGACGATTCAGAAGTGCCCATCGAACTCAAAAAGACATGTCCAAACATCCAAGATCCACCCGCCCGTGACCTGTCGGTAAAATACAACTGGGAGAGTTATATAGTCTATATATATAGCTCAGCTGAAATGGGATAGAAATGGATCTCAGTGGTCATAGAAATGGTAACAAGCACTTCTCCATTCTTGTTTGATGGTGCAACCAGGAAACACCAGCAGCACCAGCGGTCCTTCTCTTTTTCGAAGAAACGCAGAAGAACCCACGCGGGTTTGTGGAGTATGTCTCTTTCGGCAAACGTTCCTAATCGAACTCCAAACGTATGACCAAACGCAAGTGGATGGATCGAAGCTCTGGCAGCTTAAGCTTCGACGCTTCGAACACCGCTCTGGCAGCAGAATCTGCTTCGACCCAGCTGTGACTGTCTGACCCCCGAGACCAGTCTTGAACTTACATGAAGAAATACGAACATAGCAAACCTTCCAACACCGTGATACCAAGAAGTCCCCGGTCTAGTTTTTGGTCTGCATCATCAAAATCAAGTAAACACCATCCGTGGTTTCTCTTCGAAGTCCTGACAATGGCTTTCCAAATACGTGATGTAAACTTAAACTGCATGAAAGGGTCACCAAAACCATACCGAAAAACCATGCCCCATCCAACTCCCTTTACAACCTACAACTTCACACTCAGTGGTGCACTAAGTCATCACTAAGCCACTAGTCATGGTATGATGATCGTCACTATGATCGTCCACCCGTGCCGTCGAAATCCATCGTCACAACAAGATACAAAAAAATCCACCCAGCACGGAGCCCTGTGTTTCCCGCACCATGTGGACTTGAATGGTCTGCTCCGTGAACGTCATATGCGACCAGCTCTTGTCTTGACCTGGCGCAATGCGGAAGAGTCAGTGTTGCGGGTTGTGTGAGTTGCATAAAAGTCTATTCTGAGAGGTGAAGCAAAGTGAAGCTGCATAACAGGCTTGGAACACTCCCAGCCAAACGCCCAACCAAAACACCAAAACAACGATACAGCTGACTGACCACTCATTTTTGGGGTCCACTCGCTGGTCCTTTCGATTCCAGCTATTGAATGTAAATTGAGAGGCAAAAGCTCAGCTCATCCCTATAGTGGTCCCCAAATAGATAGATGGTACGGTTTCCAAATAGATAGGGGATCACTTTTCTATCTATGACACGGGATCTTAATCTATATCCCTGTAGGTTCTTGAGGTCACTGTCCGAAGCAACTTTCAGGACCACAGCTCTAGCCACGTCGCTGCACCACCCGGGTCGATGTGATCAGGCAGACTGGACTGGGAGAAGTTCAAAACCCGAAGAAACTCGGGACGTGTTCAGCAGCTGTACCCTCAAACTTCTGACGTATTTGAGGCTGAACATCCTTTCAACATGCCAATGTATGCACTGCAACCCCATGCTGCCCATCTTTCTCTCCAACCTGCTCCTACTACCGCCACTCCTTCCTGGCAGGTGTCATTTCGGCTCCGCCCGGTTCGCTCCGCCCCGGTTCCGACCATTTCGGGCTCCCCACGAGAGCAGCCGGCGCCCATGACGCAGGGGTCGCAATAGGTGATGTAGGTATAGAGTCGACTTCCATCGGCTGCGCGGTCGAGCGGAGAGATGAGCGCGCAGCCGCGGCACATGCGGCACATGCGACCGAAGTGGAAGTGGGAGATGACTGATGAACTGTGCTCTTAGAAGAAGATCTGGTGGGTGAAATTGGTTGTAGTTCCTTGACCAAAGGAAGGAAGTCTGGGCATGAAGCAAACCAAGAGCTGGTTACAAGGTCCTGTTTTTGTCACCCAGTACAAGGGATCGTATTATAGCCTAGAAACACCAGGAAGTTTCTCATGCCATATATATATATACATCCATGATCATCCATGTGAACCAATGAAGCTACTCCCTGGGGCTCTTAACTACCTCAACACCTTGCAAACCATTCGGCTAGGCAGGTGGAGCGGTTAATTCACCTTTAAGAAATGCTCATCACAAGGACCGACTGCCACGAAAGGACCCTCATCACCAGGATGTTTGATGAATTTCACATATTTTCACTCGTCTAAGTGAAGTGGCCGGATATCGCCGTCAACCTATCAACTGCCTATCAACCCATTCCAACGTTTTGTCAGGTTTTTGAGTGACCATCTTCACCTGGAGACCTCGGGAACAACTGCACATGGCATATGGTTTTGCAAATCAAGCAGTTTCTGTCTGATACCACCTCTGATCATGGCATCGATCGGTTCTCTAGGTTATAGCTCCACA